TCCCAGAGTGAGAGAGTCCCAGAGTGAGAGTCCCAGAGTGAGAGTCCCAGAGTGAGAGAGTCCCAGAGTGAGAGAGTCCCAGAGTGAGAGAGTACCAGAGTGAGAGTACCAGAGTGAGAGTACCAGAGTGAGAGTACCAGAGTGAGAGTACCAGAGAGAGAGTACCAGAGTGAGAGTACCACCTTCACTATGGACTACACGGCTCAGTACGCTGACATTATTCATAGTCCTCCTGACCCTCGCCTCGGTCTGGTCCCTCTAGTTCGGTCTGATCTTCGCCGGAGCTCAGAAGAACGTGGGCTGCGCCGGCGTTACCGTGGTGATCGTGAGGGAAGACCTGTTAGGCCACGCCCTCAAAGAATGTCCCATCATTCTGGATTATAAAGTACAGGCGGAGAACAACTCTCTGTACAATACGCCGCCATGTTTCAGGTGAGAACAACACAGACTGTATAAAGACGGACGATGCTAACATGCTAACGATGCTAACATGCTAGCTAAACCAAGCCCAACGGGGAAGTGCTGTTTAGTGCTCTCTGTGATGCTGGAGTTTATATTGTAATGTCTTTGTAAATCCAGATGTTCTTCACTGTGGGTCGGATAAAGTAGAGAAAGAATATTTTGTGAACCATAAAAGGATTGGCCAATCAGGGAGAGACTAGAGTGAGAGAGTGACTATAGGAGAGCCCATAGGGAGAGGCCAGAGAGAGAGAGAGAGAGGGGTAGATAGGCAGAGAGAGAGGCTAGAGGGAGAGAGAGGGGCTAGACGGAGAGCTAGAAGGAGAGAGAGAGGCCAGAGAGAGAGAGGTCAGAGGGGTAGATAGGCAGAGAGAGAGGCTAGAGAGAGAGAGAGAGGGGCTAGAGGGGGAGAGAGAGGCCAGAGGGGGAGAGAGGCAGAGAGAGAGGCCAGAGGGGGAGAGAGAGGCCAGAGGGGGAGAGAGGCAGAGAGAGAGGCTAGAGGGAGAGCTAGAGGGAGAGAGAGAGGCCAGAGGGGGAGAGAGAGAGGGTCAGAGGGGTAGATAGGCAGAGAGAGAGGCTAGAGAGAGAGAGAGAGAGAGGGGCTAGAGGGAGAGCTAGAGGGAGAGAGAGAGGCTAGAGGGAGAGCTAGAGGGAGAGAGAGAGGCTAGAGGGAGAGAGAGAGGGCTAGAGAGAGAGAGAGAGACACTGACTAGAGGGAGAGAGAGACTATAGTGAGAGAGACCATTAGCGTCAACACTTAGATAATCCAAAATAACAGAAGAAGAAACGTGAACTGAGATCCAGGGTTGAGTGGTTCTGGTCCTGTGTGTGTAGCATCTACATCATGTTCTGGTTCTGGTCCTGTGTGTGTAGCATCTACATCATGTTCTGGTTCTGGTCCTGTGTGTGTAGCATCTACATCATGTTCTGGTTCTGGTCCTGTGTGTGTAGCATCTACATCATGTTCTGGTTCTGGTCCTGTGTGTGTAGCATCTACATCATGTTCTGGTTCTGGTCCTGTGTGTAGCATCTACATCATGTTCTGGTTCTGGTCCTGTGTGTGTAGCATCTACATCATGTTCTGGTTCTGGTCCTGTGTGTGTAGCATCTACATCATGTTCTGGTTCTGGTCCTGTGTGTGTAGCATCTACATCATGTTCTGGTTCTGGTTCTGTGTGTGTAGCATCTACATCATGTGCCTGGTTCTGGAGTGGATCAAGAACAACGGAGGCAGCTCAGCGATGGAGAAACTCAACAGAGACAAATCCTCTCTCATCTATGACATCATCGCCAACTCGGACGGCTTCTACGTGTAAGTGTAGGGTAGACGGAGGTGTTTCTGGTCTCTCCTGGTCCGGCTGATGGTCCGGCTGATGGTCCGGCTGATGGTCCGGCGTGTTGCAGGTGTCCCGTGGAGCCGTCCTGTCGGAGCAGAATGAACGTCCCGTTTCGTCTGAGGACCGAAGAAGGAGACGAGGCCTTGGAAAAAGAGTTTCTGGACGGAGCGGCCAAACGTGGAATGATCTCACTCAAAGGACACAGGTCAGAGAGCGCGAGAGAGAGAGCGAGAGCGAGACCGGAGTGAGAGCGAGACCGGAGTGAGAGCGAGACAGGAGTGAGAGCGAGACAGGAGTGAGAGCGAGACAGGAGTGAGAGCGAGACAGGAGTGAGAGCGAGACCGGAGTGAGAGCGAGACCGGAGTGAGAGCGAGACCGGAGTGAGAGCGAGACCGGAGTGAGAGCGAGACCGGAGTGAGAGCGAGACCGAGACCGGAGTGAGAGCGAGAGCGAGACCGAGACCGGAGTGGGAGCGAGAGCGAGACCGGAGTGGGAGCGAGACCGAGACCGAGACCGGAGTGGGAGCGAGACCGAGACCGAGACCGGAGTGGGAGCGAGAGCGAGACCGGAGTGAGAGACCCTCTGTACTGGTGTGTTTCAGGTCCGTGGGGGGGATCCGGGCCTCTCTCTACAACGCGGTGACGCTGCAGGACACGGAGGCTCTGGCCGCCTTCATGAAGGAGTTCAAGAAGCAGCACTTTTGAAAACCTTATTTTGGAACTGGGACATTTCAGCCTCTGGTCTTTAACCGTTAGATCCATGTTGGGTTCTAATCTCCTTTAGCTGCTACAAAAAGCTCTACCTACTTTGTTGTTTTCTTGTGTATGTATTCCAGTAAAGAGAAAGTGCCAAACTAATGATGCAAGTGGATTTGAAAATGACCAAATAAATAAATACTTTTGGAAGCTCAATCAAAGTTCATGAGAGGGAGAAGATTGAGGTAGTTACAGGTTTTATTTACACTTTCATTTTACTCAAACCCAAAAGTTGAACAACCAATTCAAATATTGTACAAATCGGACTTTGTATCTGCAAACGGTGGCATTTACTTTGTACGATAGCGCCCCCTACAGATTCAATTTGTTAGTGGGTGGGTCAAAAATGAGATCAAGGTATATTTATTTTTGTGTAGACCGAAGTCACAGCAGCAGTCGTCTCGGAGGACTTTACAAAGTTGCAGATTCACCAACGACCAACCAGAGAATGCAGGGCTGGATTTAATAACAGAAAATACACAGGACTGAGGCTGTAGACCCAGGACTGAGGCTGTAGACCCAGGACCGAGGCTGTAGATCCCGGACCGAGGCTGTAGATCCCGGACCGAGGCTGTAGATCCCGGACCGAGGCTGTAGACCCAGGACTGAGGCTGTAGACCCAGGACTGAGGCTGTAGATCCAGGACTGAGGCTGTAGACCCAGGACTGAGGCTGTAGACCCAGGACTGAGGCTGTAGACCCAGGACTGAGACTCTTGTTCCAGGACTGAAGCTGTAGACCCAGGACTGAGACTGTAGATCCAGGACTGAGGCTGTAGATCCAGGACTGAGGCTGTAAGATCCAGGACTGAGGCTGTAGATCCAGGACTGAGACTGTAAGATCCACTGAGACTGTAAGATCCAGGACTGAGGCTGTAAGATCCAGGACTGAGGCTGTAAGATCCAGGACTGAGGCTGTAAGATCCAGGACTGAGGCTGTAAGATCCAGGACTGAGGCTGTAAGATCCAGGACTGAGGCTGTAGATCCAGGACTGAGACTGTAAGATCCAAGACTGTAAGATCCAGGACTGAGGCTGTAAGATCCAGGACTGAGGCTGTAAGATCCAGGACTGAGGCTGTAAGATCCAGGACTGAGGCTGTAAGATCCAGGACTGAGGCTGTAAGATCCAGGACTGAGGCTGTAAGATCCAGGACTGAGGCTGTAAGATCCAGGACTGAGGCTGTAAGATCCAGGACTGAGGCTGTAAGATCCAGGACTGAGGCTGTAAGATCCAGGACTGAGGCTGTAAGATCCAGGACTGAGACTGTAGACCCAGGACTGAGGCTGTAGACCCAGGACTGATGAGGCTTCCATTATAATCCATGCTTTTCAGCCTGTCCCTGTAATTGCAGCCAGCAGCCACTAGATGGACACATAGCTCACACATTGGGCCGAGTGAGAGATGACTGTAGGAGGCTGAATGGATGCTTCCAATTAAAACCCATAATTTTTATGTAAATCCTGGAGCGATGATCGTGTTTCCTGATTCTCTACATTCCCTAAATCGTCTTGTCGAAAAAGCTTTTGTAATTACTTCCCCATGAAGCCCTTTGAGTATCTTTTAATTTTGAGTTGTTGTCTGCTTTTGTAAACTCAAAATATAATAAAAGAAATGCAGGAAAGGACACAGGGAAGGTAAGCGGATCCAGGAGTTATTATTTTATACAGCGTCCCGGGTGGTTCTCCCCAAAAAGTAATTTTGGCTGTTAGCAAATATCAATATGAAGAGTTGGAGGAGCGCTGTTGACTGAGGCTCCCAGGGGCCCGCGCCGATGGTCTGTGTGCGGAGCCAGAGTCTGAGCGCCGCATCCAGACGTCGTCATATATAGCAAAAAGATTATTTAAAAAAAAAAACAAAAAAAGAGCATAAAGTTGTATTAAATCTGTCATTGAATCATTAGCGGTGGATCATAGTGTTAGCTTAAATGCAGAAGAGGCTAATTTCAACATAAGCTAGCTGGAGCCGACTTCCTTAAATGGACATTTCTTCCGTGGCGTTAACTTTGCGCAGTACAATAGGCAGATGGGTTGCTAAGACGGTTACTAAGGCAAGCTGAAGTTTCCCCCCCATGAATGAAGACGTCTGATTGGTCGATCAAAGACAATATAAAAAAATACTAACACCAGGATCACAGAGAGCGTGAAACTAGTTCAAATCCCAAAATGGTCGACAAACGGTAACTGAGCAAGGTGTTTATTTTTCAATGTAAGTCAATAGGAGACAGATGCTAATAGCTAGCGAATTAGCATCATCCCTCTGTATACAGTCCTAGCATTGAATCTAGCTAACCCATTAGCTTAACTTTTTTTTTTTTTTACTGTATATAATATTATTGACTTTAAATCTGGAGGGTCCTTGTCAATATCCACAAAACATATTTTAAAGTTGTCTCGGTAGCATTTGCAAGTATAAAAAAAACATTGATAGATGTGGTGTTTAGGCAACAACCTTCGGGAAAAATTAGCCAAAGCTGACGACGCACTGTAAAAAGTGAAGAAAACAAAGTCAAAAATTGCTCACATTGCACTGTAAACCCTGACAAGTAAAGTTTACTTGAAAAAACCTTGGAAATAAATTGCGTATTAACTTCACTTGAATTACTCGAGTACATCCTTCACTTGATATCACCAGGTAAACTCAAGTGAATACGATAACGTTTACATTTCCATTTATACTCCGACCGGGGTTTGTATCTACAACCTTGATGTCATGAGGCAACAGTGCTAACCACTCAGCCACCGGGCCACTCTGTCATGGACACACCTGCCTCATTAAAGACTCTACACTTCAAAATGTCAAAAAAAGTGAGCCTTAAATTGAACAGCGACGGTTCAATTCAAAGAAAACCCTGAGTGATATCGCCAAGCTTTAAATAAACTAACAATAAATGAGTAATATTTACTTACTGGGAAAAATATTTAAAATAACTTTGATATCTGAAGTAGGATTGAAGTTAGGGTTTACAGTGTTGGGTAAAAGTATCTGAATTTGAGCACATTCTGACTGCCTTAAAACGAAAACAAGATTTGCTAATGGGACAAAAAAGATTCAGAAATGTCTTCCTTGGAATGAGTAAATTCAGTTTTGATATAAGAATTTAGTTTTAAGTCAGAATGAGCTCAGATTAGGATAAAAAACACTGGATTTAAGCGTTTATTACCTCATATTTAATCTCTTCTCCAGTGTTAAAACCGGACCGGAGACTTCCTGGTTCCGTGAAGCTGTAATCCAGTGACATTTGACGGCTGTATAAAGCGCGTGTCCGTCAGATTCCATTTTCAGATAAAGAAATAATTGTGTCTGTTGCACTGGAGGCTCGAACACCCTCCGCAAACTCCAAGGTTAGAATTGTCTTTCTGTGTTTTCAGAATCAGATTTGTTTGTTTTCTGTAGCCATTGTAAGTGTCAGGAAGTTACAAACGAGGAGTTAGCTTTGGCTCATGGTGCAAATAAGTTGGAAGAGTAAAACGGTTAAGGTATGTATTTAAAAATTGTCTTAAAATGTCTAAAATTTGTCTCAAAACTCAAAGCACGGTGCCCAAAACAATGGGGAAATAGTAAGTAAGTATGAGTAATTTTATTTCTACCGTCCCATGAGTCGTTCAGGTCAACAAAACTACTGCTGCAGTGTGTACAAGAGGATTTAAAATTATAATTCTTGTAGATTTTCTCTCTAAACAGAGAGAGAGACAGAGACTGAGAGAGAGAAACAGAGAGAGAGAGAAACAAAGAGAGAGACAGACAGAGAAACGGAGAGAAACAAAGAGAGACAGAGAGAGAGAGACAAAGAGAGAGACAAAGAGAGAGAGACAGACAGAGAGAGAGAAACAGAGAGAGAGAGACAAAGAGAGACAGACAGAGAGAGAGAAACAAAGAGTGACAGAGAGAGAGACAAAGAGAGAGAGAAACAGAGAGAGAGAAACAGAGAGAGAGTGACAGAGAGAGAGACAGAGAGAGTGACCGAGAGACAGAGAGTGACAGAGACAAAGAGAGAGTGACAGAGACAAAGAGAGTGACAGAGAGAGACAAAGAGACAAAGAGAGAGTGACAGAGAGAGAGACAAAGAGAGTGACAGAGAGAGAGACAGAGAGACAAAGAGAGAGTGACAGAGAGAGACAAAGAGAGAGTGACAGAGAGAGAAACAAAGAGAGAGACAAAGAGAGAGTGACAGAGAGAGAGACAAAGAGAGTGACAGAGAGAGAGACAGAGAGACAAAGAGAGAGTGACAGAGAGAGACAAAGAGAGAGTGACAGAGAGAGAAACAAAGAGAGAGACAAAGAGAGAGTGACAGAGAGAGAAACAAAGAGAGAGACAAAGAGAGAGTGACAGAGAGAGAGACAAAGAGAGAAACAAAGAGAGAGAGAGTGACAGAGAGAGAGACAAAGAGAGAGAGAGGTTTCAGGCGAGATGGAAGGTTGGATTTGGGGCCGATCCCGGCGCTGGCAGTAATGTCGGGGTAATACCTGCGGAAGACAGAAGTAAGACGGAGATAATGAAAAACACGGGGGAAGACAATATCAAACGGCTCCTCTACATCCCTCAGAGGAGATTAGGCTCAGAGGAGGAAGAGGAAGAGGAGGAAGAGGGGGAAGAGGAGGAGGAGGTGGAAGAGGAGCAGGAGGAAGAGGAGGCTTTAGACGCCTGATTGAGTCTGATGTGAAGAGCTGCGACGCACAGGCCCCGGCACACACCGTGACTGACGGCCCTTAAACTATTTCACATACACCGAGCATTAGACTCTGAGTGTGTGTGTGTGTGGCTCTCTCTCTCTCTGTGTGTGTGAGTGTGGCTCTCTCTCTGAGTGTGTGTGTGGCTCTCTCTCTCTCTCTGTGTGTGTGGCTCTCTCTCTGAGTGTGTGTGTGTGTGTGTGTGTGGCTCTCTCTCTCTGTGTGTGGCTCTCTCTCTGAGTGTGTGTGTGTGTGTGTGTGTGGTTCTCTCTCTCTCTGTGT